CCAGAAAATTTATTAGTTCTTAGCAAATATGCAGTAATAAAAATGATGTAGCTAAATGATATATCAAAAACATATATATACTATATAATTGTCCATTTTGTTTCCAGACAGCAGTAACTTTGAACCTTGGTGCAAAATAAGACATAATATAGATGAAAGTGTTAGATCAATACTAAGAACATTTGTTACTGTGCTCATTTTAGCCTTGTTCTAGCTAGGAAATGAATGTGAATTGATCTGCCAGCAGTTTGCTGTAGGCAAATATCTTTGAGGAGTTGCCTGGAAGGAAAGTGGATTGAATATAGTATTTGCTCTGACACTGCTACACAGATAATCATAATCTTCATATATGGTAGTCATCTGCTAAAATATTGCTAGTGATGCTGTGTGAAGTTTATTGATGTTTATTCCTATAGAATATAATCTGTATAATTATTTGTTTTGCAGTTATTGTGATGTGGCAGAAAATGGGAGGAGAAATCTGGCAGCTGTTAGAACCCATGGATGGATTTCATCCTAGTCAGGTAACAGGCAAGATGGGTAGGTAGCTTTAGAACAGAAGAGAGGAATCTGTGACCTTCTAGATGTTGCTGAACTATAACTCAGAGCAAATCCAGCCATCATGATGAGGATGTTGGGACTTGATCAGCAACATCTGGAGCTCCCATTAAAACAGACAATAAGGAAAATCTAGATGTACAAGGGAAGTAATGTTTTCCATTAGTACGATAGTGCTTGGTTGCAAAACATACAATCAGACAACATATAGGATAGCTCTGCATGTTAATTAAGAGCACTTAGGATCTTTAGGATACCATTTCTTCTGATATTATGCAATTCTTTCGCTCTCTAGGAACTGTGTTTCTATAGTGTCAAATCAAAACTCATTTGCTGCCAATGGTCTATCCGCCACAATCTTTAAAGAAAAGGAAAGACAGCATTCTTGAGGCTTTCTGCCACAGAAAAGAAGGAAGGGATTTAAAAGATGTAACATTCACATAGACACACACCTGGATACACCTGTTAAATGGTTTTGGTTTACCATAGGCATTGCCTTGCTTGGGAATGGAGAACCAAGTAGAGAGATTGTTTCTGGATGGGGGGGGGGGATATCCTTTTCTTTGCAGTGCTGGGGTACTTGTGCACACAACACTGGTCTTCAAAGGTCAGTGTTAGATGGATCCCCCAACAGTTAGAGGGATAGGAAGATAAAGGAGCATAGTGGCTAAGTGGGGACTGAGGTGGAGCTGAGGATAACAGGAGGTATAGAAAGATATTTGATGGGTGGGGGGAGGAATGTTGAACCTTCCGTGGGAAAAAGAGATAAAATAAGTGCCAATCTTTACTTCTGGCTCTACAGTCTTACCAGTGAGATACATATCTGGCTTGCTGGGCATATCAGAATCAGACTGATGCTTGTGAATGCCAGATCTGTCTGTAATAAATCCAGTTTCACCCATGATATCATGGACAAGATGACTGATCTGGCATGTGTCACCAAAACCTAGCTGGACAAGGATCATGGAGTACCCCCTCATTGAAAACTTTCTGTCCAGGTCTCAAGTACTGCTTGAGTAGGGGAAGTAGTGTGGCAATTGTGTGCCAGGGTCCTAACACTTGCAAAAGGCAGTGTTCTTCAGGTGGCTAGGCATGGGGCCATATTTGTGAGAAGCGATAAGCTGGTGGGGGGAGGGGACCGCTATTGTAACATACCCCCAGCTGCATAGCAGTGCTACACCCTGAGCTTGATTTCATTGCAGGGATGATTATGGATTTCTCCAAGCTGCTAGTCTGGATGATTTTAACCTCCTCTCTCTTGGGTCAGACTAAGCTCATAAATTCATGACCACCAATAACCATGGGCTTGTCCCAGGTCACCACAGGCTTGACCATTAGACCTAGCTTTTACCTTGTAATATGACTGGGCATTGGGGACATTTCTATCAGTCCCTTGTCATGGACAGATCACCTCATTGTGCTTATAGAATTAATTGGAACTACAAGACTCTGCAGGAAGTTGCTAATTAGTTGGCCAACCCCAGGTGTTTGATAGATCCAGTTTGGGTACCCCAGAGACATGGAGGGGAGTTCTGTTGATTGCCTAGCTAGCTTCTGGAATATAGAGGTATTCAGGACATTAGACAGGATTGCCCTTCTCTACATCTGCTAATCCCAGTCAGCTCCTTGGTTCTCTGAGTTGCACTGTAACCAAAAGGTTCCACATCTCTACAGAAATCAAGGGGAATTAGTACCATTGAATTAAAATAAATGGAAAAAGAATAAGAGCTGTCATTTTTTGGTGTCTACTACCTACCACCTAGCCAAGGAGAAAATGTGATTAACACATTCAGAAAGCAAATTGCAGATATTTTGAAGAGGCATGATATTGCAACCTGCTGGGAGACACATTGTGCCAGTCATGGCCCTTCCAGGAAATAACTGCCTTATCTCTTATGACCTATACCTCCCAAGGTAGAAGAACTGTATGATGACCTTTTTGAACTAACATATTTTATTGAAAGGTACAAGGTACAAGCTTTCATGATCTGCAGCTTTTTTCATGAGATGCATGTAGTGGCTAAAGTGATGTAGGATTTAAATTGGGATGGGAGGAAAGCAGGGAGAAGATGGGGTGGATATGCAGATATAGATTCCATGTGAAACAATTAGAAGTACCATCAATTAGCAACTGTAATGTATTAAAACCCATTGTTTGTTAAGACTTTCTGAGATAACCTGAAACCTTTTGATGTAGCCACCTCGTTTCCAATGAGTATTTGACTCTTTAGTCGTTAACATTTACTAAAGCATAAATTTGTATATTAAAACTGAATTCTATTCTTGCTTACCTTAGCTCCCCATCTCTTATAGGGTCACTGCTATTAATTAGCTACATACATTTTATAAAACTATGACTGAAATGCTTGATTGTTTTGTACATGACAGGACCACACATTTTAATAAAGAGCTACAAAATAAAATAACTATATGCTTTTAAAGAAAAACCTGATATAGCAGTGTAGAGTCTGGCAAACACGATTTGTCTTGTTTATTCTGAAGAATTATAATTGCTTTGTATGGCTAGAACACAGCTTGAGGGCCTTAGACTTCTCCTTCCAAATGACAAAAAGTATTTGTCAGAAAACTCCAAAGCTGAAAAAGCCATGTAAGAGTTACATATTTTAAAAGGTCAAGCTGAAAAGATGCCCTTATCTAACTTATAGAATTGAAACCCAAATTTAGTAAGTCATACAGGCAGTTCTATAATATGTGTGAGTGGTAGGGGGGAAGGAACAAACCTGGCAACGTGATGTCTTGATTTAGGAAGGGAAAAATAAGATTTGGTACTGGGAAACCATTTTCCATTGAAGTATGTAACTGTTTACACCGTTGCACTCCACGAGTTCCCCCCATCCCTCACAGTGTATAATAACACAAAGGACAATAACTAAAACATAAAACTAGAAGGTAGGAGTCATATACATTTTGGCAAGTCAATAAAAAATAACATTAAATAAAAATTCAAGTATACCAAATGAATCTATTCATTAAAACCAACACATCATGAACTGTCTGTTCTCACATTAAAATGTTAAGTACTCAAATAACTAATTCTTAAGAAAAGGCCTTCTATGAAGTCTGTTTTAAACAGCTTTCCTGAAAGTCAGGAGTGACAGTTCCACTCATATTTCCGGTGGAAGAAATTTCTAAAGGGTGCTGTTATGGTAAAGGATGTTTGCTAAAATAATTTGCCAAATTCCCCAATAATTGTGACAGAAGTATCACTCTTCCAGGTTTCTCCTCTCAGGATTCTCTACTGCTGATTCTCTTTCCTTGCATGCTAACCTCCTAGAGCTATTAAAGTTGTAATTATACATCTGCATCAACTCAAAAGAGGAGGCTCTTTGAATTCATTGTGGCCAATTCTTGGATTTGCTCTTGTAAATTTAGTTAGAAATTTGAAGAACAGTTTGAAGAGAGTGATGTGTGACTGATGCAGCCCTCAAAAGACCGGGCTTGGTATTCCATCCTTCAGTCACATAATCTTTGCAATTTGAATGAATTAATGATGTAAACGTTTAAATTGTGGGTCAAAAACTTCAGCTAGGAACAAATAAATATAAAAATAAATAAGTAAATACTGTTGGATGCTAAGCTTTCAGTTTTGCATTCTGATGGCTTGTTCTTCCCTTATGAGCGAAATGGGTCCGAACAACAAGCACATCTGGTAAAGAAGAGATTCACTGAGTCATATTGAGCTTATTAATATTATAGTTAAAATGTTAGGCCTTAGAAAAGCAATTTGACTTCACTTTGATGAAGAGCTTCACACCTACAGGCAATACGATTCTCTTCCTTGAGGCAGACAGGCAGCATGATTTCCCTTGCCTCACTTTGCCTCACAAGCGAGGACTTGCAAAATTCAGAAAAGGCTTTTGGTAAGTAACAGAAACACTGGAAGATAGTTTTGCACTGGACATATGCAGAAGCCTATTCTAGCATAGGGAAAGAATATGCCTGTTCTGTTCTCAGGAGCAAGGTCAGGGTTAATTTGAAAAAGCAGCTTCAAGCCTTTGTCAAAGGAAAGCACTCCCTGTGCAGATTGGCACAGCCCTAGAAGGTACAGCAATAAAGAAAAAGTTGTTTTGTATTTAATTTTGTGGCCATGCTACTGTTGCCAACTTGTCATATTTCTGTATTTTAATGACAGCTAATCTGCAAACATTTTAACATATAAAGCTATTTTGGGCATGAATTTAAAGTAACATAGAATCTACTCATCCACTTCTTTTTTTTTTTTAACTGCTTCTAGTTCGCCTCTGCGCTCGAAGCAAGAATCCTCTGGAAGAAGCTCCTCCAGGAAAGGCCTGATATTCTTGGAAAAGAAAATCCATTCAATAGTGAGATTGCAGCAATCTTTCATGGTCAGGGACACTGATATTACAAGAACGGGCAACCTTTTTCCATCGTTGCTTTCTCTTAATCTGAGCAAAAATAAAACATCTATTTTTCTTCTGCACGATTTTATCTGAACTCCTAAGAAATATATATTTCTTATATATATATATATTTAAAACTCATTTAACAGATAGCTTAACTCATAATTCCCATGTTTTGAGTCCAAGTGTAGCACTTTATACCAAGGATAAGTGGAGGTGTAGTCGACTCACATACAACAGAAATGTACATGAAGATCCTTTCAGTTCAGAACAAGTCTTGATTGCTGAGAATGATGAGGAAGGATGGTGGTACATGACAAAGAATGGAAGGAATGGCAAGGTAAAGAGTTGAGATTTTTCAGCAGTTTCTAGCTGCCTGGTGATCACATCCTCCATCCTGGGGGATTCTTCACACATCTGGTAAACTCCAGAAACTCTTTGAATCATGTTGTACTCTGGCTTGGCTAAGCACCAGAGCATTTCCAGATGTAAGTGGCTATGAGTGAATGGTTATAGCTATTAATGTATATAAGGTAATCAATGGCATGAAAGAATAGATTAAAAGGACTGGATGACATTCAGACTAAAAGACATGTGGGGAAAAACAATGTATGTCATTCAATTAAAAACCTCTATGTTCACTCAGTACCTATTTGGTTATGCAAAATATTGACACTGAAATATTATATCAGGTAAACTACAACTGTGTAGAACTTAAAGTCAAAGAGATGTTTTGGATCTTATGGCTTTGGGAACATAATGTTGCTTGCTTGCAATGTGTTTAAGCAGCTGAGATTTTTCTCAGGATTGTGCTACTGCAGCATAATGCTGGGAAGATATTTTTAGTTTAATGAGCTGCAGGCAGGTGTTAGATGTATTAGCCTATTCACCCTCAAACACCTTCCTTTCTCCAGGGATTATCTCTCCACCAGGGTTGCCATAAAGTTATTTCCTTCAGTGGCTTCAGGCTTTGCTCCTTGATATATGTAGCACCTTCAGTCCACACAGCACAAACACATCACGAATAATCTCCTTCATTGCCTAACAAATCTGCCTTTTAAACCTTTTCTCCAAAGGGCTGAGGTATCTGCTTTTAGGTGCCTTACTCAGTTTGACAAGCTTCTAGGAATCTATATCAGTTTTTCCATGGAACAAGCAGTCAGAAGCTCTAACCTTGAGACCAACTTACAAGACCCATATCCATCAGGGAGCTCACACTGCCACACTCTAATGTTCTAAATACAGTAGTTGTAGGTGTTCTGTTTAATTGACTTCTAATACACATTCTATTTAACTGGAACACTGCAGATATATCGCTTTAATGTTTCTGCTAGACATTAAATTATATGGCTTTGCCTCTCCCATTAATATTTTGTCCTACACTATCTGTGTAGCCTTTATCACCCAAAGATGCCTTTTTTAGAGTAAACAGGCAATATACTGTTCTCTAGGATTGCTTAAAAATAAAGAAATATGTGAACATCTGATTGGTCATTGTAAGAAAGAAAAAGTGCTGGACTAAGGTGGACACTTACCTGATTGGACAGGGCTATTTTTATGTAATATATTTCTAACTTTTCAGCCCATTATTCAAGCTCACCCTTAGCTTTTAGTTAGCAGTATTAAAGGCAGAATTTTTTTTTTTACTAGAAGTGCTTTAAATCTATCTAGAAAACTAGTTTTATGTCCATTTTATTAATACCCACTAAAGCCATAAAAAAATCTACTTGGCATTTTTGTTGTCCAGTATGTAATTTTGTGCAATGCTATGATATTCACATCATCAGTACAACAGTTAATTAATAATTCTGATGAAAATAAAGTTTTAAGAAACCACAAGATCTTTGAAGTGTGAAATTGCTTATTCCTTTAAGAGAATTTTCAGCTAAAATATCCTTATATTTGTTCAAATTAATGCCACTCAAGGTTTACATTTATGTATATTAACAAATTTTGGTTGTTTTTTCCCTCAGCAGGGATTAGTTCATGAAAGTTTTACATATTCATCATATATGAATAAATATGTATTTAAATAGCTCTGCTTTTCTTTGTAATCAGTTCCTTATTAGAAGAGTAAAACAAAAAGCTAGTTAATCAAATAAATTCTTGTAAAACAAAAGACTGATACAAATTCAAAACTGGATTCCTTCAAAACAGTCATGTCTTTCATAATCAATCTTAAAATTAATTCATTAGGATTTGTACAAATTTAAATACAACATTATTATTGAGTTGAATATCTTAATCAAATGCCATTTACTTCAGTTCAACAAGATTTGGCTTACGAAAAAAGAAAAAGGGCCATTGTTTCAGTACTTTCACAACCACCCTTAGCTATTTTCCTGAAACTGCAATCTTACTGAGAGAAAGCCCTAATAGTGTGCCACAAAATTGGACCCATCTTCCTCCTAAACTCTGGATGGGAAGAGCTATGCTAGGGTGCTTACTGAGGAGAAAAACTCTGCTGTTAAATGCCCCTTTCTTTGAAATACTATAAATGCATTACTCTTTTGTTAACTTAGTATTTTTTTTCTCATGGAAAGTACTCTGCTAATGCCAATATTTTTCCAACAAGGTAAAAGTCCACAGCTTTTTGGATCTCTATTCCCTCTGGGTTTTCATATCAGAAAGAAACTACCTTCTCACTGTAAACAATGAGAGAGAATTGTTTTAGGCAACTTTCAGGGTCAGTCTAACTTTTTTCTCTTAGCAGGAAACATGCTAGGTGACAGGAAGATCTTATAGAGCCAACACCTCTCCCAAGTTGCCCTCCTCTCAGGAATTTGGTATTCAATTTTGCCAAATCAAATATCTTTATTATGGTCTTTTACCAGCCTTTGTAAAAATAAACAACTTATTATTAGGGAAAGAGGAAAGCAACATAATTAAAAGTTCTGTGCAATTGTGTAACATTTGGCCACCTGGTATGTGAGTGTCGAGTCAGCATCCCTTAAAAAGTAATAAACATAAAA